CCACTGTTCACCTTGGATATTAACATAACACCACTTCCAAAGATATTTTTATAGACCTACTTGAAACCGTCTCCAGTGTCAAAAATGCCATTATAGTTTAAGCAAGTGCTTTTTAAAGAAAAAGGACATTTAACTGTCCATGTCAATTTGAACGTCTTTTTAAGGTAAAATTGGGGATTATCTATACAGGAAACTGAAGCAGGACGCAGTGTGCCACCAATAATCCTCCTGTGTGAAACATGTACTGTCTCAAACTAATATGAAAGCATATAAGGCTTGTAAAAGTGAAACTTTGGTATAGATTTATATAACTTTTGTTCTTCATTATTATTAGACAGCTACTTTGTTAGAACATTCCTTGTATTAGTTTCTTCAGGACGTTCTCTCGTGACAACATCCCCTACACAAAAAAAACATATTTATAACTTTAATGTTTATTAAAAATGTGTTCTTAGAGATTAGATAGAAGCTTTTCAACTCTTTGAAGATACTACAAAATATTTTTTGGTCTTTTGTCAAATAAGGCTAAGTTCACAGACAGTAGTGACCTAAATCCGATTTTCTTTTTAACAATACCTGTATCTGATCTTTTCATGACAGTCTGAACAACAACAGGCCACTTGGCTATGTGGTTCTAAATCCAAGACGCATCTGATTTTTTCAAATGAGACCTGTGTCTGAACGGTCGCATTCACCTGACCTGTACAGTACACCATTAACAGCCGACAGAGGTCACTATATTGTATCTTGCTATGCAGAACCAGGAAGAAAAATAACCACGGAGGACAATATGTAGAGAGCAGTCTTTCTTTTGAATGTTCTTGAAAAAATTGGTAAATCTGGTTGGAAAATAAATGAAAGATTGCAAGATGCCCTCCAGCACTACCATCCATCTTTATTTCCATTAAGTGCTCTAGTGCTTATTTTTGACAATTTAGTTGTATGAATGCAGTTCACACAGGACATCACAAACCTGTTGCATATATTTGGCAATGTGAACGACCATGCAAAATAATTGGATTTCCCCCAAAAATTGGAATTTGGCATTAAGGTCTGAAATGTGAACAAAGCCTGGGATTTCAACTGTTTATAATCTCGTTTGAGAACCTCTGTTCAAAGATTTCTTATGATTTTTTTCATAACTTCATCATTTGAATCCAAGTCTAGAACAAAGGAACACTGTCCGACAATTAAACGGTCAAACAGACAATAGTGTATGGTGTCAATAATGACAGTCCTACTGTTCGCCGACAAGATTGACAAAGATTCCTGGATAGGTGTCAAAACATTTTCTGAAAAAAACTCAGCTTAAGTGTTTTGTGTTTAGAGTTTATGGTATCTTGTCCATTAAAATTAGTTTTTTCTTCTTTTTAGGTTCATCACTGATCAGTCGATCAGTTGAACCATATGGTAGAGCTAATTGTAAATATTCTCTCCATCTGCATATTTTTCCACAACAGCTTCCACCAAATCTCCTCTGTACATTCATAGTTGTTCAGGTATCAAAAGGTGGTTGTTTTTCAATTGAAATTGAATAGCTTATCTATAGTCACAAATAGCTACAAAGAAGCTACCATAAATGTTCTAGTTTGACTTGAAAGCATTAGGATGTGAGTAAATAAACCTCTAGTTCTGAAGACAAAAAAAAAAAAAAACTCACCGGCCTAATATCTCCTTTCATCCCACTAATGTCCTCCGTGTGTTTTTCTTAGCAAAAATGAAAGCCATTTATCAAATAATGAGTTCGACTTCAGAGGGTCGGAGAAACCATAGCCAGCCTAAATGAAAGAGATGGAGCAGGAGAAGGTTAAGTGGGGAAGTTTTTTATCCAGAAGGGGAGTTATGTTTTGCAGGATAGAAAATCATCCTGTTTTTTTGCCATCTGAATCACAGCAGAGCGTAATCGACCTGAGGTCAGCCAAGGAGCATTCCCACGCATGTGAAAGACAGGTCCATGAACATGTTGTTTTTACTACCCTGAGCTGTATTTTTAAGTCAAGGTGGGCCAAATTTCTCCAGCTATAGAGGAGGCTTGTCATTCACCATCAAAACATAGTGGTTTATGGGCCAGCAATTTAGAGAAATGAGGAAGCAGAAAAATAGGTTAAGCATCAATAAATCACATCCAGAGGAGAAACACGGGCCCGAGTTTTCCTTGTACTCTAATTGTTATAAAAAAGAGCCCACACACCAAGGATGCACATCAATAAAACATGGCTTTTATAAAATATGCATAAATACACACACGGCTGAATGCTGGGTATTGACACTGGCTGAATGAGGAGCAGTAGTTAACAGCAGTTGGCTCCTCTAGTTGTTTATAATAGACGGCCAATTCATTTGAACAGGAGCAAAGCCATTTATCAATTATTCAGAGCCTCTGTATTCAGCATCTGCATGTGTCCTTAACTGGCAAAGGTAGAGACGAACTCCCTGTGCCTCTCTCTCCTGCTCTCACACACACAAACACTGTGACAAATTCACATCAGTCACACACAAAGCCATCCCCATTGCTATTGTTAGGGGATCGGCAGATCAAACGCTCCACAGAGCATTGCTCCAAATACAAGCATCAGCCCGGGTCGCTCTGCCGTGTTCCGATTCTCCGTGAGGACAACAGGCGGGCCATTGTCACAAAAGGTAATCACGCTGTAATTCATGTTTCTGCACCACGTCTCCACAGAGTGTTTATATAAAAACTGTTAAAAGGCGGGATTAGCCTACTGGGTTTGCGGTGGCGGTGGTGAACAGCCAAAATGAAATAAATTTTGTGCCATTTTAAGAGTGTGGAAGATCATAAGAAAAACTGAATGTAGAACATCTGACTGCCTTCAGGTTGATGTTTTATGAGGAGCTGAGCAGGCTGTGGACAAATATTTGCATATACCGGTATATGAAATGGCCAATGTACAGATATATAAAAATACCAAAACTGAAGAAGTCCAGAAAGAAAATGTAGATGAATGACCAATAGAAGCAGAACTCTAGCCCTGTTATAGAGCTCTCAGATGAAAACAAGATTTCCTTTACTCTCTTACCTTATCTGTGTCTTCAAATAGGCGGAATACTGATTCACTTAGTAACAACTTCAACACAGAGGAAATCAGTGTAGTTGGTAAAAAAGTTCCAAACCAACTGATTACTTCCATATCATAGTATTTATATTACATATTATATATATTCATTTCTTCTATTTGGTATCCGATCTTGACCATTTCTTTGGGATGTCAAGCATTAATACATTGTTAGGTTTGAAAACGCAGGCTGAGGTCACAGCTTCTCCCCCTGTTAAGCTTTGAAAACATCTTGATGTGAAGAAATATCAGATGTTTACATTATGTCAACAGATCGATTACAATACAAACAAGTGATCATTTCTGATCAACTCACATTCTTCCTGAGACAGGCATTTCTAGCAGGTTCAATATCATCCAGTTGAGCTTTTCAACATGGTACCAGTGTCCCCCTTAAGGCACTTTACAGGACACATAGGTCTTATTCATGTCCAGTTGAATAGGAAAAACCTCTAATCAACAAATCCAATCAACCAGAATCTCAAGATATATCCAGATTCCTCTCAATTCGTCCCTACAACCCTCTAAATTTAGCTTTAATAATCAGTTAAGTCAGTCCAACCGACTGCCTGCACTATTATCCCAGCTTTTACAAGATGGATAAAATATTTAAACTGCTCAGAGAGAAAAAGAAAGATGATCAAATTACTTAAGTGTTGTGTTTTTACCTAGTATTTCTGGAAAAATAAATATACAGAGCCAATAGTTAAATTATATTTCCCAAACAACATGTGCTGCTGCTGAAAATCAGCTGACGGGAGGCATTTACGGCTCCGCATTTTGATTCTCAAGCTTTTTTCACCCCAATCTTTTGCAAGCTTTACAATCTGTAACCCATATTTGGAGTTTTAAGCCTGCGTACCCAACTCCCCCACCCCCTCCCTTTCACAGCTCGTACTAATATCTCAGGGGGGGAAATCTTATCTTAAATACTGGACAAGGACAAGGAGAGAGGAGAGGAGGGGGGGAGAAAGGGGCAACAATGGAGCAATAGGGTGTTGGCACTCATGTTTGTTATAATAAAAGATATATCTTTGACGTTACAACACTGTCTTTCTCCAGTTTTTTATGTAATATGCTACTGGAACATCTTCTTTTAATGGAAAACACATCTGCATCCTGGTTGGAATTGCATATTATTGATCCTTATGGACAAGGGTAATTATGACCACCGCCAAGTATAGCTACAAATCCTTGAAAACACTCAAACCAATGTATGTTTGTGCTTATGGATGTGAAACTGTCAAGAAAACCTACAGAGACAAGACCTTCCATGAAAATCCTAATCCAGGCAGAAAATCAATACTCATCAACATCATTTTGACTGTAGTGAAGGAAAAAAGGAAAAACTGTAAACAATACAGTTTCATTAAAATCCCATATTCATTGATATGTTTAATCCAATTTCTATGACATGAAAATAAATGGAAAACACCCTATGTTGTAAGCCTGCAGAGGTGTATTTTAAACTAAGCACGCAGTAAACTTGAATAATTTTCTTTTTTAACTTTTGAACACCTCATAGGAAGTTTAGTCCAAATTAAACATGCATTTTCCTACCAAGAGGAAAACTGTTTGTGAGCTCATAAAAGTTGTACCTCCATGTTCCTGCTGATGATTCAGGCATCATCATCCTTCTGTTTTGCCTCTATTAGATCCTGAACAGCACCGTGGAGACTAAACAGACCCTCTTTATTCCAAAGGAGTAAACACCACCAGAGGACATTAAAAACGACATTTCTTATGTTTTTTATTGCAATAACAACAAAATAAACCTTATAATGATGTGAAATTGTCATTGATTTGTGTAGGAATTATTTTTAAGTAAGGTTTTTACGCATTGGTCATGTCCAATGAAGCTTATGCACTTGTCTCCAGCTGTATAGACTGGTGGAAGTTTAAAATAAATAAAAAATAGAATCTTACCTTCAGCTCATGAATGTCTATGACAGCTCTTTTTTCTATTTTTATTTTAATAATCCATCAGATCTTTCCTTTCAAGCAGTTCAGATGAATGAGCTCGATTCAGAATAACAGGACGAGCGCTACTTTTCTCTTGCGCTTCTTTTTGTTACATGCCGCGCTCAATTCGCACCTCTTTAATTCGGAATATCCATGAGAAATCCACACTAAACACAGAAGCGATGTTCTACTTTCTGAGGTTTTTTTTCCTCAGGTGAGACGGACCGAAATAGGGGTGTCCCAGAACGAGCTAGAGAGGCGTACGCTGTCCTCCTCCACAAAAGCCGACGGTCATCCTATTTGGAGAAGCTTAGACTGGAGCGGAGCGCAGCGATCCCAGCTGTCACCCACCCGCTACACACACTCACACACACACTCACACATACAGGGAGGAGCTACGTCTAAGGAATGGGAGCTATTGTGTCAATGGAGGCCAGTTATGGACAACTGTACTTCTATTTTTACGCAGCAGCTTTTCAGGAAAAAAAATGTGCAGCTTGAGGAAGAAAGAAAACAGCGACATATTATCAACTTATCCATGCTTCATACAGAATATTTATTTATTAATACTACTCGCAGTACCACACTTTGTTGTGGATGCGATCTCTCAGCGTCCACGCGCTCAGGACTGCTCTTTCTCCCACGGTGGTCTCTCTCTCTCCTGGTCCGGGGCTGTTACGCACGAGCGAAAGCACGCGCTTCGCAATTCCATAAGAGCCCAAGGCTTCACCTTTAAGTTGGTGTTATCACAGAAGCTAAAAAAAAACCACACAAAACTAAAAACTTTTAAAACGTTTCTTCTTATATTAGCCAAAGTTAATTAACGATGGATAATTAAATACAGTAAAAAGTAACTGTAGTTTTAGAAAGAGGACATTAATTAAGAAAAAAAAAAACTATTTTTCAGACTATCTGAGTTATTTAAACAGTCTATCCTTTTATTGTGATCCTCCACACAGATTAGATTAGATTACAAAAGTCTAATCTAAACCAACCCTTAGCAAAAAGAAGTTTATTCAAGTATACTAAAAGTGCACTAATTTCATACCTAAAATCAGGCAGTGCACTTAGAGTTTACTTATTCCAAACTATATTTCATATACTTAACAATAGTATAGTCACGTGTACTTGACTATATTATTGTTTACTTTATTGTTTACTGAGGTATACTTTAAGTATACTTTAGTAAACTTAAAAATGTCCCCATTTAGTTCGAAGAAGAATTACTTTAGTTATACTTCAAGTACACTAAAAGTAAATTGTTCGGTGTACTTTCTCAACTTATACTTAAGTATTCTTAGAATTTACTTCAAGTATACTACTTTTTGCAAAGGGATAAGAAGAGACTTTTTTTTTTTTAACAAAGCTGTATAGGTACCACTTCTGAATGCTTTCAGGAGATTAAAATAAGCCTGTTTTGTAAAAAAAAAAAAAAAAAAAAAACCACTACTAATTGGTTAAACATATGTTCCACTACCTGCATATTCCTGTGTCAAAAATATTAATTGCGTATAAAAAAAAATAAAAGTTGGTGTTTTCATTAGCTGTAGAGGAAATCGTCAGCATAAGAAAACAAATGATTAAAAAGACGAGTGTGTGTTCAGTTAATCTTCACAATGTGTTTCACTTAGTAAAGTGAGTAACTTGAATAAATGATCTAATTTATTTAATGGGCTGTTATAGCCCTGCAAGTTTCAGGAGTGCATCTGCTGTGCAGCCCACAAGGGGGCATCCATTCCCATTTACTGGAGATGTAGATAAGCATCTGACTGACAGATGACCTCACTCATTGTGATTATTTTCTAGCTCAACAAATTATGTAATAGCAGCCAATAACTGTCACACCTTAGAGGACCAATGTTCTGTTTTTGGGTTGTTTTTTTTTGCACAGCCCATAAAGGGGTTTTCCTTGCTTAATAGACATTGCAATTATTACTTGAAAGTAATTACATTGATATTTATCCATAAATGAAATTATGTATTTCAATATCCAAATTATAGATAATGGTGTATACACTGTATACAATTTAGTGTTTGCAAACGATGTTAAAAATGTGTTTTTCAAGAATAATTTAATGTACAATTTGACTTGATGGCTGCTAAGTGATGCAGTTTGTAGCACTGCTGCCTTGCAGAAAGAAGGTTCTGGGTTAAATTCTCAGCTCTGGGTCTTTCTGCATGGAGTGGTGCGTTCTCTCTAGGTACTCTGGCTTCCTCCCAGAGTACAAAAACATGACTGTTAGGTTAATTGGCTGCTCTAAATTTTCCTTAGGTGTGCCCGAATGGTTGCTTGTCTCTGTATTGCTCTGCGAGGGACTGGCGATCTGTCCAGGGTGTACCCAACCTCTCCCCCATAGACAGCTGGATATAGGGACCAGCACCCCTCACGACCCCGCTTGTGATAAGTGTGATGGATGATGGATGTATTTAACTTGTTGAAGACATAATCAACTTTACCTATGTAAGCTACACTTAATAAACTAATTCCAAATAAAAGCGCTTTTGTTTATTTTTGTATTACATTTATAGCAGCAGTTGTTAAATATGCAAAATAGTTTTGTAATGCAATGCAGATATTAGCAAAATTGCATAATGTTATTGCCAGTCATTGTGAACTGGTTTTGTAAAATTTAAAATGACCAACATTGCTACAGCATTGGCAGATATTAGGTGGGCAGAAGCAATTTTACCCATATCAAAAACCGGTCTATGTTTACAATCAGATGTTGGTGATTCCTGGTCCACGCTGACTGCTCTCTTACGGGCAAACCATAGTTTAAACAAGTCAAAGTAAACATCAATTTGCTTGGCTGAAAATTGCAAGCCTGACACGAAGCACAAACACAAACTACTTGCAGATGCAGTCAGACGTGCAGCAGGCTGCAAAACGGCAAGCACACCTGTGTGGATGTCTAGATCACAGTATATGAGCTCCAAGGGGACAAAGCTAATCAGGGTGATGGCTTATCATTAGAACAACAAGCCACCTGTGAAACAATAATTAGGTGAACATGTGTGTGCGTTTGAATATAATTGTGTTTCTGTGTAGAGAGCTGTCAAACAAAACAGCTTGCTTGTTACTGTAACAGTAAAGTACCATAGTTCCTCCATAGGCTCAATGCCTCATTTACCTCCCTGCCACTGGACCATCATAAGAGAGCATGATGCAGAGAGACCTCACAACAATCTTTCCATTCACTCAGATTGCAGTTATTTTGCAAAACATTTGTATATAACATTGTATAAATAGGTTGGAAAATGTCGGCCTAGTGGTTAGGTCGTTGCGTTTGGAATCCAGAGGTTCAGAGTTCGATCCCCACTCCCAGAGACTGCAACTCTGGCTCCCTGAGCAAGACCCTTAACCCCACACTGCTCCTGTGGGCTGCACAATGGCAGACCGCTGCTCCCCAAGGGGATTGGTTAAATGCAGAGAATTCATTTTGTTGCTCTGTACTTGTGGCAGTGCAATGAAAATAAAAGCTGTAGAAAAAGAGTAAATATTTAGAGGGGCAGTGGTTTCTTTCTGCAGTTTAGCTATGTTTAATTCCTACATCGATGCTTTATTTGTTTAAGTAACATTTCAAGCTCCCCTTCTTAATACTTAAATAAAATCATTAACAAAACTCCCACTCTTAATGATAACATGATGCCTCTAATCACAAGACACATCAGCATCTCTTTACATATACACACAAATCTTTGGCACAAAGCTGTGCACAACTAAACACTCTGCACTTTTTATTCAGTTTCAGTCTCCATTTTACACTTGGTATGAACGATAGCATTAACCTGATATAACGCTAATTTGTCCTATTAGGATTTTCTTGGCTTACATTAACCAGCCATGAACATTTTGGATAACAGGATAACTAATATGTATATATCTTATTATAATAAAGGCAGCTTGTGCAAGTGCAAATATGCTTATTTTGTTTAACAGTTGGAGGAGGAATGTGTTAATGAATTCCCCTCAGTGTTATAGATCTGAAGAACCTTTGCAAGTCAGGGATGGAAAAAAAATTCTCATCAAATCAGCAGCAGGTTTGAACACATTTAAAGAAGCAATGTTTTTGGCAATCTCATGCCTTTACCTAATATCACACAGCATAAACTAAGGGAGTTATATGTAGACTTTGAATTGAGGGAAACTGCCATTCGTTCTGAAACAGTCATAGTTGGATGAACTAAAGAGATCCTCAGAGTGCAATAAAAGCAAGATGGAAAAATGATAAGGCCGCTTATAGATTTTCATGGAAGCATACCTCCCTGCAAGTTTAGCTTTAGGTCAGGCTTTGCAGAGAATCTCCAAATAACCGATGAGCATGATTTCAACCGCTATAGGTTTTCCACGAGCAAATAGGATATTCAAAATTTCATCTTTGCAATTAGACTAAAGACCAAACAAGTACAGTTTATCCAGAAAAGGTTTCAAGGGGGAAACTACTTTCTTTTTAAGCATTGCTTAGTTAGCTAAAGTACGTCTGAACAAATCACAGGATCTGTGGGAAATTGTCCTTTTGACAGATGAGACCATTGCAGAGATATTGGATAAAGCACGGGGCCATAAATACTTCTTATATTTCTTCCCAAAAAACTGCATTGAGAATTATTTGACTTCATTTCAGAATCAGAATCGGGTTTATTGCCATTGTTAGTGAAGGAGTTCACAACTAGGAATTTTTTATGGTACAGTCGTGCAACATGAAACATATAATATGAAATAGGTAAATAAAATTATAAAAATCTCTAAAAACACTGGGGTATAAGGCATGCAAAAAATATACTAATATATACACTTAGGGTAAAAATATGGATAAATAAAAAAATATATATAAAAAGTAAAATGTTCAAGGTAGTGCAAATAGAGCAGTGTGCAATACAGCAGTGTAAATGGCATGGGCAGGTTATGGAGTCTGACATATAGTGTTCATGAGTCTTATGGCAGAGGGGAAGAAGCTGTTTTTATGGCGGGAGGTTCTGGTCCATATGGACCGTAGCCTCCTCCCTAAGGGGAGAGGTTCAAACAGTCTGTGTCCAGGGTGAGAAGGGTCGGCTGTGATGCGACTTGCACGCCTCCTGGTCCTGGAGACATACAGGTCCTGGAGTGATGGCAGCTTACAGCCGATCACCTTCTCAGCGGAGCGCACAATGCGCTGCAGTTGGTATCTGTCCCTGGCGGTGG